TGCCTGGGCTCTCCCTCACAGCTCGACCATCCCTTTCTCTCCATAAGGGTGAGACGCCACCACAACGACATCCAGACCATAACCCTGGCAAAAAGCAGAGGCGTGTACAAGGAGGACAACCAGAACAACAACCTCTGAGAGCAGCACAGCCCGTGCCAGGGCTTTGCTCACGGGGCCGGTGCACACCCACCCACACCACGACGCTGGGCTTTTGGACTCATCCACTGCTGCCGGGACACTGCCGATAGCCAGGGGTGGGCGGCCGGGCAGGAGCTGGGGCACCCGCTCCCCCTGCCTTCCACTCCAGAGCCAGCGGATCCTGGACGTGGGGGGAGAGGCTGTAGGTGCTGCCTCTGCAATTTGCCACACTCAATTAGATCCTATTATTTTGCCTTTCTTGGTGGCAGGGATCGGGACAATGGTAAATGGATGAGACACTCAGTATTGACCCTTTCGGCTTTGTCAGCGGCTTGGCTAGCCAGCATCACAGCCCTTGGTGCTGCCTGCCAGGCCACTGCCAGCAGCGTAACCGCAGGGTTGATGTGCATTGCTTGTAGAGGTGCCATCGCTAGCATCGGTCTTGGTGGTGGGTCTGCGATGCAGTGTAGGTCCAGGCTCTGTGGAGGTCAGGACTCCCACACGGGCTCGCAGCTGGTGGCTCCCGTGGAAGAGGCTGCTGTCAGCTGTAGGGTCTCCACCAGCGCACAGAGACAAAGGTGGCCTTGGCCTACGGACGCCTCCTGCGAACATCCCGTCAGCATGGGCACGGAGGGCGGGAAGCGGCGATGATCTCCTTCCTTAGCTGGGAGGAGGCAGCAGAGGTTTCCTCCTCTCTCCGTGCTGGCTCCTGTACCCATTTCTCACAGAGCGGGGCTCGCTGGTGGGTGGTCAGAGCATGCAGACAGATGTGGAAATGAAGAGGTAACAACCAGACACTGGCGAATAACCAGCATTAAGGTGCTTTTCCAGGCCACCCTGAAAAACCCATTCACCATCACATTAAACTGCTGCAACTCACTGAATCTGATGGCGTTTGGCTTCCAACACCAGAGGTAAATTTGAATGTGTATTTTTAATCTCTCTACCATTGAAATGACGCTTGATTTAAGCAGTTACTGTTTGCAGGAACAGCTGTATTCCTGGTGCTGTCTTTGCCAAGACTGAGACTGGCCAAGGCATTTCTATTATGGTAATGCTGGGAATGATGCTAGTATTTAAATGCTTTGGCAGACCTGAGCTTTTACCTCCTTATTCGATGTTTTTCCTATTCTCAGCAATATAATGAATGTGTGATGAGCCATTTCCCTCCCATTTACCCAAAGGTGTTCTTTGTATTCCCTGTGCCTTCCTGTCTTTCTCTCTGGCTAAATCTGATCAACCTCAAAAAAAAAATCTAAATAAAACCAACAGCAAATGAAAGGCTCCTTCCCAGATGATCAGAAGTCAATGTTACTTCTGAGATCACTCGCATAGCAAGGCAGAATGGGTCTTTCTCCTGCCTAGAGCCCACTATGACTTTACTGGACTCCCAGTTTAAACCTGCTTTTCCCCAGGCTGAAGACTTCAGACACCCTCTGCCTATGGCGCTGTGCATTCCCTCTGTTACTGACACAGAGTGTGTGCAGTGGACTTCCCAGTGGGCTTCACAGCTGCTTCCGATAGACTGACACATGAATAATCCCTCTCTCATTGTTCTGATGATGGCTGTCTGGTTTGCTTTGGGAAATGTGTGGTTCATGCATGTGCATAGGCAAGCGGCCATTCCTGTGACTGCTGGCAGAGGAGCATCTCCGTTCCCCGAGCACATCTGAATCCAAGGCAGGGGATCACCTGTGCGAGGAACCGACCAGAACATCCTGTCTGCCTGTTCCGCCTCTGCAGTGGCATGTAGCAGGCATCCCAGCGCTGAGCAGCTCAGTCACAGTTCACACCTAAAAATAAGCTTTAGTTAGGTGTCTTCCACTTTCTGGACCCTCCTACAATGGTGGTGGTGGTGGGGTTGTCCCACCGCTCGCTGCTCGCTAGCTTGTGTATGACCTCACTCTGCCTTCAGACTTCTCATTCGCAGAGCACCTGCAGCATTTTCCACTGAGCCTTGGGTCTGGGGGTGCCTGGGGCCAGGCGCCGTCGAGCGGGACTGTGCCGACAGTGGTGCCTGTCCCCCACTCGGCACACAGCTACAATCGCGTCGCTCTGGTGCGGGTGGAGAAGGGGTTCATACACCATAAATGTGCTTGGGGCTCCAGGCAAGAAAACTAGCCCTGCTCCTTGCTGGGGAAAAATCTGCTGCTGCATAAATACCATTGTACTGGCTGACCAAAAAAAAAAAAAAACCACCACACCACTCAAGAACATAAATGGTAAGAACATCACATCTTTAAAAAATTCCCCAAAGACTTCTAAAAGTATGTCTCCTTTCCCCTCTTCCTCTGTAAACACAGTCTCAGCTTAATCACTACCAGGCAACAGGGAAAAATCTTTAATTACTTGATAGCAGAACTTCACAAAACTTCTAAGTATGAACAGCCTTCCCCACCCCTGGCACAACTATTTTGGCATGCCCCCTTAAGGACTGCTGCATGGACAACTTGTCCTGCCTGAATTGCAGGCATGTAAAAATAAATATTTCAAGGTCAAATACTTAAGGAAGAAAAAAAAAAGTGTACTTATTTAGCACAGCCTAAATTGACACTTAATTTTTGTAATATTTAAAAAACAATCAAGTTGGGTTTTTTGCATGTTTTGCAAGCTTTAGAAGGCTTGATAAACACTGCTTGATAGCAGGAGAGCATTTACTCACAGGTGCCCACGGAGAACAGCCTCCCAGCCAGCCCCGGCCGGGAAGACCCGAGCACCATGCCCAGGCAGTGCTGTGCAGAGCCGGTCTCTGTCACCACGCAGATGACAGGCGCAGCTCTCGTCAGGTGTTAACAGCCTGTGATGGCCAGGTCAGGCTGCAGCCAGATGGACAAACTGAACAGGCTTTTACAAACACTCGCAGCATGCTATTTTGCCGATAGCTTTGCTTTTGCCTGAGAAGCTACACCAATACCCTGACACCTACAGCAGTGAGCACCACACCGTTTCCATCCGAGAGCCCGTCTCTGCACTGTAGCTCCTCCAGCTCAAACTCAGCCCAGAGCCCCTCCTGGAGCCCTGGAGCTTGCCCGTGGGGCACAGCTTCACCCCACCCCTGCCCAGCAGCAGCAGCCTGAGAAAGAAAAAAAGCCAACCAGCAACACAAGTTGTTTGAAGGAACAACTTTTTTCTTTTTAATAAAGTGTACAAAGTAGTAAAACTCCTTACATGAGGTGCTGTGACAGCTGTTACAGAGATGATTCGGGCTCCCCCATGGGCCTCATGGTGAAACGCCAATGAGCGTTGGGTGGAGACGAAGGACATGAACACGACACAGACCCACCTGCCCCTACCAGCTCCCGTGAACCTGCCCTCCCTGTCCCACACCATGCCTCCGGCCGGCCCCCACCACTTCGCCTGCCTGGCTGGTTCACCTGTGCCAGGTTGTTCCCGCTGTCCCATACCACGGCATCCCACACGCATTCAACACGAATAACACACTGAACCGAGCGACCTGTCTGAGCGGCATGCATACAGAAAGGAAGAGTAAAAACACAATCCGACTGAACCCACAACAACAACAACAGAATTTTAAGGCTATGCATAAAACAAAATGAAGCAATATCTTTAAAGCTAGGTAGCAAGTAGCATTTGTGAAACATAAGGCTTGAGGCTTATTGATTCTTCAGCACAGGTTTATTTGCTTTTCCTTCTTAAACACCAATGTACCATTTTTCTTCCTTTGCTTGAACAGGGATTTTGTTTCCTTCTTGGCAGGGACATTTAACTCAGGGAAGTTATGTTGGAGCGGCCTCCCGGGGGCGCGACAATGCGCTTGCTCGCTGAGCGAACACCGTCATCAATCTGGGTACCTGGGAGAGGACAAGAAAGCACAAAGGAAAAGGGGAAAGCAAAGTTAAGAGCATTTTCTTCACCAGCCTGAGAAGTCAGGCAGCCTGGGGTCTCACTGAAGGGCCTCCCGAGGCTGTCTACAGCAACCTGCTCCTTCTCCAACTCCAGTAACAACCTCGAGAGCAGCAGTGGCTTGAACGCCTCTGTAGACGCTCCCCCATGAACAGACCCACGCAGCAAGAGCAGGGTCTGATGCTGTGCTGGCACCCCCATGGCCACCGCCTGCCTTGTTTTTGCAAGGTGCAGCAGAGTGGAGGGGCAGCTCCAGCCGTGTCCTTTAATGGACACACAGGGTCTTGCTCTGCCACGCTCCACTCTTGTGCTCAGCTTGCCCCAGGCCATCTCCCAGCTGCCCCCCACCCCAGCAGAGGGGCTGGGGCAGCGTGGCCGGTGGCTCCGCACTCTCCCAGCCCAGCGCTGCGTGTGTTCACCTGACAGGCTGAATCCAGACTGATGGAGGTTCCTGACAGGGGGTGTCTGCCGCGTGGGGGACCCCCTGGTTGACCCCGCAGGGGTGCCCCCCTTGGGGGTGGTGGTCAGGTCAAACACAGGTCCGTCATACATGCCCCGGGGCACGGCATGCATCTCTGCCATCTGTCACCAGAGAGAAGAGGACAGTGACACTTCTCTGCTCCCAGGGAGCACCCCGCCATGGCAGCAGCATGCTCCAGCGACCCTTGGCTCCCCAGTCCCCCTGCAGAGGCCATTCACAATGCCAGCCCTGTGCCCCTCCATCCTGCATGCCCGAGACCTCCCTGCAGTGTGGAGGCCTGGCGCAGCCCCACCGCCCACCTCCTGTGTGACGGCCTCCCCTCGCTCCCTCCTGGTGCAACAGGCAATCCCTCAGCACAGGTTTATGCTGCATGGATGGGGAAGGAGAAGGCCATTTTTCCCAGTCTCTGTTTTTAACTCGGCACTTCCCTCCAGACTCCTGCTGCAGCAGGACAGCAACACGGGCAGGCATCACCCACTGTTGACCCAGCCAAGCACCTGCCTCCAGTGGTGGCACACCATCAAAACTAAGGTCAAAGCTCTCTACCCAGGCCTTAACTATCCCAACTGTACGTTCAAAATACACGTGTTTGCAGCACGGTTTCCAGGGTCCAGTGAGAACACCAGAGGAAAACCAATCAGTTATTAGGGAAGAGGGCAATTAGGGCTAATTGTGTCCCAACTCTTTCTCCTGGCATCCCTGTCGTCTCACCTTCCTCCTGGCTTTGATGCGCTTGTAGACATAGTCAGGGAAAGGGCTGCTGGGCAGGAAGCGTCCAGTCCCCTGGGTCACATGCAGGTTGCCATCCTCCAGCATGATCTTCCCCTGGCATATGACAACCAGCGGGGCCCCACGCAGCTCCATCCCTTCAAAGATGTTGTATTCAGCCGCCTGCAGCAACCAGGGGATAATGGTCAGGACGGACATGAGCGCTGCCTGCCCACTCAGGGCTGTTTAGTCCCCACACCTCGTTGCTGAAGCCACCAGTGCAGGGAGAGGACACCTGTAACAGCTTTGCCTGCCCCAGAGGCCTCCTTTAGTTCACTAGTCCATCACACTAAGAACCCACCAGAGGTCCCAACATGAACCAGGATCTGCTGCTTCGGAGCTCGGTGTGAGCAAGGACTCCAACAACAGAGGAGGGCAGGACCTAGGCTTGAGGTAAGGCATGAACAAAGCATGTTGGCAAAGCCAGGAAAAAATTGTACCTGAAGAGGAACCCAGATAAGGAGAAATGCGTGTCCTTACACCTGCGTGGGACAGGCTCAGGAGAAGAGCAACACAGAAGGGTGAAAAAAGCCCCATGCGCAGAGCCCAGGGCTCACAGACATCCAACACCACAGTCACAGCTGGCATCACGCAGAGCCTGGACTCAGTCCCTCCTCCTTGGAGCCCAGCCCGGCAGTGCCAAGCTCCCAGCAGCCAGGTAGCCTTTATACAGTGCTACTCGCACCCCACCCTCCAGCATTCTCACAGACAAGCAGAGGACTTACAGATTGATGGGTTTTTGCCGTGACGATCTTCACTGCATCAGGATCCCATATAACCAGATCGCTGTCCGAGCCCACTGCTATTCTCCCTTTCCGTGGGTACAGGTTGAAGATTTTTGCAGCATTAGTGCTTGTCACAGCCACAAACTGGTTTTCATCCATCTTTCCTGTGGCCTGCTCAGACACAAAGAGAACAAAGTGCTCTTTCAGGGAGAGTAAGAGCCCAGGGAAGCACCAGACTCACTCCCACACAAGCCACTGGCTGGCTGGGCCCAGACTGCTGTGACTGATCTTACTATTGGCACCAGACAGACCAAAAACTGGGGGCATAGTCACAGCTGCCTCTCCTGCTCTGGCTTGTTTTGACTCACAAAGCCAGAGACGAGACAGGCAGCTGGGTGCCCAGCTCTGCGGGGGTGAGGACATGGGTGTCTGAGGTGCCCATCAGCCTTGCCCGCTCTGCCCTCTCCCAGCGTGACTCTTACCACTGCCTTGTCCCAGATGACGGACATCCGCTCCTCTATGCCATTGGTCCCTTCTGGGATCGCCGTGAAGTTGTCTTTTCCAATTGCTTTCTGTGCGGTGCTGAACGTACAGTGGGCACTTCCCGAAACCTGCAGGTCACCACTGAGGGGTGGTGGTAACAAAAGCATCATCAGCTGTTTTGCGGTCAGACAACTGCAGGGATGCAAGGGACACGATCTATGGGCACGGCAGCCCCTGGCTCAGCTCTGTTTTACTCTGCACCCCCGTTTCTACAGCCCCTCAGTCTGAAGACTTCCACCCGACTCAGCCCCTGCAGTGGCCGCGTCACCTGGGGGCACAGGGGCAAGAGAGCTCTGCCGCGCTGCGCTGCCTGCCTGGGGCACGGACAGCATCCTGCACACAACAGGAGTCAACAGCTCAGCTCCCAGGGAAGCCACCCTGGGGAACAAGGTGCCCTTTGTGTCAAGCCAAAAGATGTCCTTCCATATGAGACTCCAACATTTGCACTAACACAAAGGGAAAAGACACCTCAGGTCTGCTTGGGAGAGCAGCCTTTCTGCCACACAGGGTGGAAGAGGCCTCTCCACCTGAGGACTGTCCCCCACAGCCAGCGCTTTCATTGTGTACTCTCAGCTCCTGCACCCTGAGGGGCAAGCGCAGCCTTCCCCTGCCGCATGGGAAGCCTGCTGCGGGCAGGCGTCACTCCTGTCTCTGGGAGAGGGGATGTGGCTGCAGGGGCGGGGTTATGTGGGGCGGGGCCCGTGGGCTGCCCACCGCTTGCACTGCCAACCTTCCCTAGTGAGGAGAGCACCTCAGCCTGGCTCCAGGGCTCTGGCCTGAGACATTTCATCTGGCAGGAGCTCACCAAAGGCTCCTCTCAGCCCCGCGTGGACACTCGCAGCACAAGCTGCAGCAGGAGAAGCAGCTGGCAGCGCAGACCAAGGTGTGCTTGCAAGTGCAGGCTGGCCCAAGCTGCCGCCTCTGGCCCAAGCTACAGCATCTCTGCCACAAAAGCAAACACCCCCCACAGCCACATGTAAATCTGACAGTGGGATGAAGAGAGCCACGACTCCCCAGAAGCAGCTCCCTCCAGGAGGCCCAGAAAAGCTTCACTGCGGCGCTCTACAGCAGCTGCAGCCCAGTGCTGTTATCCAGACCCCCCTGCCCAGAAAGGGTCACTGGCTGGATGAGATGCCCTGACCCATCCCATTCCTGGCAATGATGGCAGAGGGCAGGAACGGGCAGAGCCAGCGAGCTGCCGACAGCCAGGGCAGGGCAAGGAGCTGCCCATGGCTCCCTGGAAGTCACCCAGCTGCTGCTGGGTCCTCGGGGAGCAGGGGACAGGCAGCAGTCAGAAAGTCATCGCTGCTGGGCAAAAGGAAGCAGACCAACGCAGGCCAGCTCCTGGCATTGCCCGCATGAGGCAACCGGCCTCGAGCACCTGGCTCCCAGACCGGCTGCGCCTGAATGCAGGATGGCGCAGACACAATGGCTCTGCTCGGGGCTGCGAATCAGCCCTAAGCCACTGGTAATCTCCATCTTCCTCTGATAATTTCTGCCATATGTCTGACTGACTGCAGAGCCAGAGACTCAGGCTGATGACACAACACGCTTCCTAATCTCCACCAGATTTGTCCCAGTGGAAGAAAACAAGCCGTCCAGCCCAGCTGGAGCCTTGCAGCCTCTCCTCCTGCTGTAGCCTCACAGAAAACGGCACGGGAAAGGTGTCAGGACAGACGGTTGTGGGCTGCAGGGACTCAGAAGTGCTCTTGCCTCCTTTGAGGTCTGGGGTAAATTTGAAGTGGAAGGGAAGGATTAGAAAGCCAGTTCAGGAGCTGGGCTCACTTTTTCCCTGCCAGTCCCTAAGACCTGTACCTATTTCATACACCCAGACTGAGCAGAGGCACATCAAAATTGACCACAGCAAAATCCAGGGTGAGCTGCATATTCAGACCCCAAATGCACCAGATCTCTCTTAGGCCAGCCATGACACCTACATCCTGGCAAAACCCAGGTTTATCCTAACATGCCCCTCTGCCGAGACACCTCTTACTGACCAGTCATCCCTTGCTCATCTAGTCAGACATGTTTCCAGCATTACCTCAAAGGTCATTTCCATTTACAACCCCCTCAGTGTCAGCCATCCCTGGCTAACACAGACCAGCCACCACACGCACAGTTCAGCGTGCAAATACAGGGTGAGAGGGGCGTGCAATTCACACGTGGCACATGGACAGGGCCAGCAGTGAGCTCTGTATCCCTAGCTGCTGCGCGTGCCTTGCCAGTGAGAGGACGGAGTATAACTGTGAAAGGTCAAAGCAAATTGCTGAAGTGCTTTCATTGTTTGCTCTCTATTTTCAACAAATCCCTTCCCCACCCCCTTGCCTTCAGGGTGAAAAAATGACCTACCATCCCTGTCAGATGTGCGTGAGCTGCCCTTAAAGGCCTCGTGCACTCTGCAGGCTCTATTACTGCTAACCTGTACAGGCACGAGAAAACATCTGCTTTGCATTTGACTGGTGGGCCCCCACCAGCTTGTGACACCTGTAACCCCTCCACCATCGCAACCCAGGTAGCCATTCCCTACCTTGCATGTGCAGAAGGGCTTTTCCTGCTTGGTGAATGCTTTCGTTGACAAGTCTCTATTAGCTGGTCCTCATTTCTTTGCATTCTTCAGGGCATTTAAAATGGTTCATGACTACTTGCCCTGGAATTTTTCTCATTACTCATCACCACTTACGGTGTCTCCCCTGTCCTCCCCTCCACTCTCAGGGATAAGCCACCACAGCTCTGAGTCAGAGCCATTTCATCAGTCAGCTCATTAAAAACCTACAGTGAAGTGGTTCAGGTTGGACTAATGTCTACACTGCCCAGGTACTCCCTAATCTCTTCCCTCCCTATTTGAGGCCAGAGTCCGCTTCTTCCTGCTAGCAGCATCGCCCAGCAGAGCTGTCACTCACCTGGCCAGGAGGGAGTTGATGTAGTCAGGGGTTGTTGGATCTGGGCTCAGAGGTGGAGAGACCACAAACGCTGCAGCCTTGGCCCAGTTCTTGCTCCAGTAATGCGTTCCATCGGTCCCGAGACTGGCCGTGATTGGCTCACCAAACACCACATTGCCTGGAAAGGGGGACAGAAAGGATGCCGTTTGGGTGGAGCCTGGAGGCATTCTCTGTTCCAGAGCACTACCAAGAGCCTGCTGTGCCCAGAGGACACACAGAGCCACGTCAGGCTGTCCCACACTGCCTGCTTAGACCTCAGGTGCTGGGGCAGGCAGGAGGCACAGCAAGGCTCACGTCGGTGTCAGGGGCGAGCCCTGCCCACCATCACCGTAGGGCACTCCCACTCAAGGGCACAGATCCTGCTGGTGCAGCAAGCCTGGTGGGAGCACGGCGCGGGAAGGCGCAGCCGCAGAGCTGCGTTCCCCAGAAGACACCACAGAGAGACAAATGACGCTGGCAACCCGGCCTCCTGCCCTGGCAGATGGCTGCTTTCCAGCCTGCCCTGCCCAGCCGTGCTCCTGAGAAGCAGGGCCCCCGGTCCACTCCTGCAAGCACTGGTGTCCCCATGCTGCAGCGGGAGGCATTTCACCCTGCTGACTTCCAGCCCAAGAGTGACAGCCACGTCTCAGAGCTGACCGGCAGCACAGGCACACCTGGCAGGGGTCAGGCAATTCGATAAGAAATGACAGGCCGCAATGGGGTAGGCAGACAGCAACGCAGCCCAACACTGAACCCACGGCGGGCTGATGACCAAGTCTCTCACAGTGTCCTTCATCGTCATCTCCTGTGCATTCTTCCTCCTTTATCCCTTGTAAATATTTACCACGTGCCACCAAAGAGTGGCAGGCTCATCCCCCTCTCCTGTTCCTCACTCGCCTTCTGCTGCCTGACTCCAGGGACAGGCCAGGGGAGAGGGCAGCAGCTGGCAACCAAGGGCTTTTGGTGGAGCAGGGCTTGTCATGCTGATAAACTAGGATGGGGACTGAGAAACTGTGCTTTTCTTTCCAAACATGCTCTAAAGCCTGGGTGAGTGCTTCTGGGAGACACTTGTCATTATGTCCCACAGTTACCAACTCCACCAAGACCCTCTCTGCAAATGCATTTTCTACATTTCCCCCCCAGCCTTTTTATAGAGGCTCGCTGAACATGGCTGTGGGGAGTCTCTGTGCCCCACTACCAGTGACAAACAGAGCCGCCCAGCCACCCGAAAAGGCACCCAGGTACCCCCAGGGGCCAGCACCTCAAAGGGAGGCCGGGGCAATACGCAGCAGCTCAAACCACTTGCACGCAGATTGGATGAGTCTCCTCACAGTGCCCTTCACAGCCGCAGACAACCTTTGGTGTTTAAAGCACTGCTCCTACCTGTGACCCACATGTTGATGTTACCTGATGGGGCAACAGGAGGTGGCTCATGTGGCCTGGTGCAGTGTCCCTGTGCCCTTCACAGGTCAGGTACGTCGCTGAACTAACTAACAGCAGAAGGGGAAGCGCTGACCGCACTCGAGGCACAGTGGTGGTCTTGGCAAAACAACCATGAGGCCATGGGGACCACTGAATCCAGCTGTCCAGGATCCCAGTGGCAAAGGCAAGGCTGTGTGCAGCAGCAGCTGCCACTCACCTTTTTTTCTGGCTTGTGAGATGAGGTCAGCAGCGCTTTTGCTCATCACTTTAGTCACATAGAGAGGACAGTTGGTGTGGCTTGCAATGGTGATGGCCCGGAAGACAGCTTCTGCTTCCAGCTGGAAGAGAGAACGGTGCACGGCTGCAGAGGAGTGCTGGGCAGGCAGGGAAGAGCCCCTGCTCCTCTCAGCACACCACGGATTGTTGCTGACACCCTGTGCCCTCGCTCTTACCCTTGACTCCTGGAGGGCAGGTTAATCAGGGAGACCTGACCGGGGAGGTTCAGTCTCCCTCGGGCCTGGCCCAACCCCCAGGCTACAGCCACGGATGCTCACCAGGGGAACGCTGCCTGGACTGTGCTCCCAGGCCAGCACAGAGCTGCATCTGCTGTTTTTTCCACTGCCTGGTTCCAGCAATCCCGAAAGCCAGAGAAACCCAGGGACTGCTGCCTGTGCCTGACAGCACAGCTCACAGGCTGATGCCGGACAGCGAAAGGGTCCGCCCCTTCAAACCACTCACTGCTCCAGGCTCCCCTACAGCTGCGTTTGGTTTAACCAAATGTCGCTGTTGTGGTTTAATCCCAACCAGCAGCTAGGCCCCACACAGCCGCTCACTCACTCCCCCTCAGTGGGATGGGGGAGAGAATCAGAAGGGGGAAAGCGAGAAAACTCATGGGTTGAGATAAAGACAGTTTAATAGGTAAAGCAAAAGCCACGCACGCAAGCAAGGCAAACAAGGAAATCATTCAGTACTTCCCCTGGGCAGGCGGGTGCTCAGCCACCTCCAGAAAAGCAGGGCTCCATCACGCTTAACAGTTACTTGGGAAGACAAACGCCATCACTCCAAACATCCCCCCCCTTCCTCCTTCTTCCCCCAGCTCTGTATGCTGAGCATGACATCGTATGGTGTGGAACATCCCTCTGGTCGCTGGGGTCAGCTGTGCCCCCTCCCAACTTCTTGTGCACCCCCAGCCTACTCGCTGGTGGGGTGGGGTGAGAAGCAGAAAAAGCCTTGACTCTGTGTAAGCACCTCTCAGCAATAACTAAAACATCCCTGAATTATCAACACTGCTTCCAGCACAAATCCAAAACGTAGCCCCATATGAGCTACTATGAAGAAAATTAACTCTACCCCAGCCAAAACCATCGCAGTCACCCTGGCTGTGGCTGGGTGCAAGAGCTATGCGCTGGCAGGCTGTCTGCATCAGCGTCTGGCCGCCCTGCGATGCAGCTGCTGCTTGTCCCAGCCTGCTGACACCCGCCCCGTGTTTCACTGTCCTGCTCTTAGCAGAGGGTGGATTTCCATCACAAGAGGTATCTTTGGACTATTACATCAGCCCGTGCTCAGCCTGAGCTCAACCCCAGAGTTTCTCCAAGTGTTTGCTCTACAGTTTGACTTCAAGCTTCGGCATGAGAAAGTTCAAAACAGAAGCCTTAAAAAGACAATGTACCAATCAGCTAGCTCCCGGGGGAGGCTGGGGCTGCCAGCTGCAGGGAATGCAGTAACTGCCTGAGGGCCAGGCGGCTGGCCGTGCAAACTTAACTCTCCCAGCAGCAGGAGAAGCAGACCATTGCACCCAGACACACATGCACTTACACACCCCTCGTACTTCTGCAGGCCTATTTGCTGCACAGTGAAAAGAGGTTTCTCTCTTCTGCTTAAAGATTCTTTAGACAGAAATTTAAACAAGAAAATATCTTTATCAGCGCACTTATGGACCTGAACAGTTAACAGAGTCTAACATGTGGACAGGAGCGAACAGAGCCATCACTGAATACCCTTCAGAGCAGGTTATAATCTGGAGCAGCACCATCCTGCCCTACCAAATCACCATCATCACCTGCTAGAAAAGCATGTCTTTAACCCCCACTGAGGTCCCTCCAGGACAGAGCAGACCCACGGAGCTATGGACCACCCTCCCAATGCTTTGCCATCAACCTGCAGGCTTTATGGGGGGTAGCAGGGTCATTTGTGCTCTACCTAGTATTTTCTCAGGTAGAGGATGTTCTGGAAGAGGGACACTGTTTATTTTCAAAGGCAATGAGCTCTGGAGTTGGCTGAACAGACGGTATCTACAGACTTCTTGTACTATTCTCAGTTCCCTTATGCTTTAATGGCATTTCAAGATCAAACACTCAACAGTGTTTTACCAGCTTTGGACAAGAACCACCGCAGTGCTTATGATAATAGGACCATTCTCAAATCCTGGCACAACCACAGCATCCCGTAATTGTGGGTTAGCTTGCCAACTAGTGGCAACGGGTCTAGAGCCATAAAAATAAATGGCATTTTACACACAGAGGGACTCTGATCTACTGTATTTGACATTGAGTCTCTTCCCTGTACAGGAAAATGCTTTACAGTCTCATACTTCAAAGAGAATAAGCACTGTGTTACACTGATTTTACCCCCAGCAGACCCTGAAGTACAAATCTGTCCCGGTGCTCCCCTGCTCGACTTTGCTATTGTACCAAATTCCTATTGTTTTCTTCTTTCATGTGCTGTGGAAAGTTAAAAGCACCTCTCAGCAGGGAGCTATCTCAAGAAAACCTATCTAAAATTAGACTCAACTCAGATTAATGGACTCAACAGAAAAATACCCTGTGAGCTAAAATTAGAAGTAATCTAATTAGTGTCTTGACAATGGTTTGTAACCAGGAAATTCCCCCTCTCCTTCCCTCCTACTCTTTCCACCAATGGCTTTGGCCGTCTGATTTTGAAACGCACTTTAGACCCTAAGCAGAGATTAAGCAGGAAGAGGCTGGAGTCTATCTGCACTCAGACAGACACGAACAGTGAATTTTCAAAGGAACTAAAACTCGCTATTTGATTCTTAAGCCTCTTACACTGATGGAGTCACCTATACAAGACAAATGCCCCCAAACCAGCCCCAGATGTTGCTACAGCCATACAGATCTTTTTGTTGATTGATTCATCTCTGGGAGACTCAGAAGCCTTTGTCTCTGCTACGAGACTTGAGCACGACTGAAAAATGTTTGTCACAAACACGCAGCACCTC